AACGGTCTCCACTGTCCCCATTAAAGGTTGAGGCATATTTTATCGAAGAAAAACATATTTTATCTAAGAATAAGATTTCGGCAATAATTGCCGATGGGTCTATTAAAGTAAGCAGAAATTCAGTTTTTATCTCCTCATATGATGATACTGGTGAATATTAGACATGAAATACCGGAGACATTAACATAATTGTCTGTAAAATATTGATCAGTATATGTCCTCACAATCACCCTACAACCTTCAAGCAGCATCAGTCCAAAAATAGCAGCATTTAACTATTGATTTACTGTAATTCAACAACATTTATATTATTACTATGCTAGACTAGCGCTACAGACAAGACTGTATCCACGATGTCACTGGGAATATTCAAGAAAGAATGAATCTAGAACTACATTGTGTACTTTTACACAAATTTCATTGAACGGGGCACAATATCATTGAAGACTGCATAATGATTTCAAATTTTCTTCTTAATAAAGTTTACGTGATATCATGGTATTTGCACAGAAATTACGAAAAATGTTTAATCAATGTTTAATCAAGATTAACATGAACAAATATAAGAAATGTTATATCCTGAAATATATAAAAACGAAATTCACAACGCATTGAAAATCTTATCATTTTTATCATTTCGTTAGACTCGCAGGAGTCTTTTTGACTCATTTTATAAAATAAGTTACACCATGTGAGTGATATTTGGGTAAACTCTAGTTAATTGTTCTTAATTGACAAATAAAAGTGAAGTAAATAAAGCCGAAAAAGTTTAAACCCCGTACCTAGGTGAGGTAACTGGCAACGTGTAACAATTTTGTTTACAATCTTATATACAAGTGACAACGTGTATTTGTTTACACTTAAATGAATCACCAGATTTAATGAATTTGTACTTGAATTAAGACTACACATTCTGATTGCCAAAAACCTTCATGTTGCTGATGCTGCTCTTGATAAAATATCTTCTCGGAATTTTCGGAATGGAATGAGGTTCAGCCTTGACGAAATTTTCTAAGAAATCAAACTGAAGGACAGTGGAACTTTTTTAATTATTTAATAAATACGAATCAACAATTGGGAAGATAGGTAAAATTGTTAATGCTACTTACATGTAAATTGCCAAATCATACTCAAATACTCGGTCAAAAACAATGTCTTGATTCTAACATTGTCAAGGGCCATAATTCTCTATAAACCACTGGTAAAAACCGTAAAATATTGAAAGTCAGACTATTTTGAATGCAAAATTATTTTTTTTGGAAATGTTGGTAATTTTTTGCATCATTCATTTTGTGAGTAAAGCACAGCTCTCATTCATTTTGACAAGGGCAATAACTCTAGAGTTACTGATCTTCCATTTAACTTTTAACACATGAAACAGCATTTCATTTAAATGTAAGTTTGTGATTATTGTCATTTTGTGGCGTGAATGCCTCAGTGTTTTCAGACAAATGTATGTAGGAACAGACATAGAAACAAGCAAATTTATTTGCAATCAAAGAGATTTTGGATGCATGTAAGGACAGACATATATATAGAAATAAGAAAGTTAATTGCAACTAAGTATGGAAGCATAAATACAATAGTTCTATGCAAGATCTAGATGATTTTAAATTGACATTCCCACCATTATAAAGAATTGTTGATACTAAATGAATCAGTTAAGAGCCTAAAACAACTATTTAATAATTATGAACATATTGAAAGATTGAACATATTGAAAGATACAGACAGTGAAGTTCATTATTATCCATGCCCAAATAAAAACCTCCAAAATATTTAAAATGTTGGTTTTTTTGTTGTTGTTTTTTCCTGAGACAACTTGGCACACAAAGTTGCAATACTCAGACACATTACCCTAATTACCTAAGATCAAAGTGCCAGAAGCATGAAGCTTCCTCTATCCAGGAGAGAGATCTGGTGTAGCTCAAACTCGGAACAACTCTTGGCCAATATATCTTTTATATGATAGCATGATTTATACCTCTCATAACCTTATACCTGCATGATATCATCTACTTTATACCATTGATAAGACATTCTTCCTGTAGATTAAAAAACTATTAAGATGTTCACAGATTCTTCAACATTGAACTGAAATTTTCAGATCTACATAAAACTAGTAAAATATTGGCTATTGTTTTCTTTACTTTTAGTAAAAGATCAAACAAAAACACAGCAGTTTCTTTTTTTTAAGTACTACTTCACATATATATAATGTAGACAATACTCTGAAGTCAAACAGTATCTACGGTAATGTGCCTTGTCAGCTGTCCACTTAATTACATTCAAAATAAGCTAGATTATTTGATATTGCCTTAACAACTAGTTATTAACTATTTAAACTATCAGTGAAGAAAAATACATGTATTCTAAAAAGCTTTCATAAGTAAACTTGAATTTTCTCCAATATCACCTCATTCACAAAGCGAAACCATTTAACTGTATATATCTAATACAAATATATGTACATGTTTGTTTATTTATTCAGTGGAGTTGAAGTTCCTACAAGTTTGGCATGCAGAACAAATATCTGCCTTACACTCGGGAATGATATATTACATAGTTTTACACTGTAAAAATGTGGGTTAAATCATACAAGAAAATATTGTGTAAAGTGCACACACTCACATCTGTGTGAGTCATAAAACATACATAATAACTTCAAGCTGTGTTACAAGGCCCCCTTCTCTCTCTCTCTGACAATTATTGTAAAATCAATCCAAATGTTACCTTTCAAGAGGGAGGGAAAGAACAAGAACTATTGCACACTCCTTGGAGTAAAATAAATATCACTTTGAACAGCAACCTTTATAGCAAACAAATACCACTGAGGTATGGTTACAATGTTGCACATACAAGTTATGAATGTAATAACTAACATGTTCTATGAACTAAAAAGAAACAAGTTCCTGGAAAGAAAACTTCATTAATATGTTATGAAGAAAAGGTTCATTATTATCTAATTTGATTATGATATCTTTTGAAATGTGTAATAAATATATCTTACAGTGATACCATGTGATCATAAGGCAAGTCGTAAAACTGGGGCAACAAGATTATAAAAATGTTATTAATACTATTTATTTAGTTTGTGGTATTCTTTAACATATTTAACTACATTGCACACATGTATACAAGTTCATAGAATCAAGGTATTAAAATGATATAATTATGAAAATTGGCAAGTCATTTTAAGACACTTTTTTGTTTTTAACTTTTTCAAATATTAGCTCAGAAGTCATCTCATTAAAACCAACATTTCTTTAAATCACTTATATATAAATTTAGACATTCAAATGAATAATTCAATTGTCCCAAGATGGCTGAAGGGAAGTGACAGAGACAATTAAGTGAATGTGACAAGTGTAAAAAAAAGTTAAACAGCATCAACTTAACACAGTAAAATTTCATAGTACCAGTCGATTAATTTAAACTCCACCAAGTGACCTAACCATGACCCAATCCTCACAATGATGTGTAAATTATTATGAATGATTATTGGGTAATTAAAGACATGAGCTGAATGATAAAGCCAGCAGACACACTGATAACATCAGACATGACTCATTCTTAATGGAAAAAACAGCCAATGTAAAAACTGGTGAGGCAACTGCAATTGCCAATACAATTCAATATTTTTCAGTATTTTGTTTCCTCCAGAGAAAACTGACTGACTTGAGCAGGCACAAAGTTTTCCCCCAGAAATTCTCTTTCTTTTACAATTGATCAAATATGCACAACAGATTATAGATCTATCTCTGTGTGCATCATCAAGGATATCTTTAATGCTCCAGCACTTGAGTATGGTTTTTTTTTTGTGCAAAATAGAAAAGCACTCATTTCCGATTAAATGTAAGTTGACAATACCATGAATGTTCTTCATCTAATTCAAAGCAATTAAAACATCTGAACAAAAACTTCCTTATTCCCATAATAGATACATCATACAATTCATAGTTTACACTGATGTTTTAAAAAAAACAACGCATATTTGACTGAGTCTTAAAATTAGTATTCAAAAGCACACATTGTGTTTTCTCTTCATGATCACCTTTTTGTAGGATACATTTTACAGAACAAAAAAGAAATCTCACATTTTGTCTTCCATTATTAAGAAATTCTTGGAGCATTGCCTTTGGTTTTGTTGGTATTTTTTATGGTGGACATTGGTGCAAAATATAAAGCAGCATTTAAAACTGGAGTAAGTTTATACTGTATTTACAAATGTGCACAACATTAAGGTTAAACGTCTCTACCAAGATGAAAGCTGCAGGCCAATCTAAGTTATTCTCGAGTTTGCTTCCTTAACAAACCAGTTTGTATGCAAATATACATGAGGAAAGATGTCTGTCTGTGAAATTTTGTGAGTTTAAATCAATGAAGTCTGACAGAACCTAACTCTGGTTTGAGGAATTTATAGCAATAAAGGATACATAAAATAATAGTCAGTGTACTTAAAATTGAAGAGTCAATGAATGATATATTGGAAATGGCTGGTAAATCTATTTGAAAGACTTAAATACAGATGACATCAAATATGATAACGCTGAGAGACTGAAAATAATATATTCCAAAATTATTTATCATTTATTAATTCATGATCAAACGTTTATCTCAAAATATGTATGAACAAAATTCACCTAAAAGTTGGCACAAGGAAAAACAGCATCAATTAAAAATCATTATTTTATATATGATTTGTCTGGATGTTGAAGAAATAGTGGATAATTCAGAGTTGCAGACTAAAATAGCTATAAAATCAATACAGAGAGCAGATGCCTTAGTGTTAAAAATCGATGATATTGATTTCCTCAAAATTTTCATGTTTTACTTCACCTGATCTTTTGTTTCTAAAACGTATGATTATCTAGCTAAATAAATCTTATTAAAAAATGCCTTGTATAAATTATAATATTAAAATGGGATCTTTCAACCTCGACGATTTTATAGATTTCACCGTCTGCATATTTGGCTAAAATATGTAAAAAAAGCCCTACCTTTAGAAATCTCTCCTAGAATAAGTTTTTTATGTTCCTCTGAAAAGGGTTCACCGATGATAAGTAAAAGTGCAGCTCCTTTAACTGCACCACTTTGGGTAACTATCCCTCCTTCCGAATTCAAGTTATCCATCGCAATTCTGTAGCAAAATGACTGAGTCAGACAGCTGTCGATCACTCCACTGCTACAACCATTGAAAAGCGGTATTTGATTGGCTAAAATCAAGGACATTTCGCAAACAGCCAATGAAAATTCGTAATACAAATTCCAGCATCATTTCCGGAGCGGTAATCAATAACGAAAGTAGAATTGATTGCGCAACATACAATTCGAAGCAATTTTGAGCTAATAACTGGTATCAGTAATTAAAAGGTAAATAATAAAAGAGAACAGAACTGATCATAATGACTTTTGTGTTTCAGACAAAAGCAATTCTAGATGTTTTACGGCGACAGGGTATCCAACTTTATTTTTATATTTTATGTACAATCTATGTTTCGGATATTTCTATTTTTCGGATATTTGTATCTGTTTTTGGCACATTTACTGATTTAGAAATCGCAGGCGTGTTACTGACTACACTGTTAAAAAAGCGTGTGCAGACTCATTGACCTACAAGTTCTACTCAGTTATTTAGTGGCAGAAACTTTATGTTTGCTAAATATATTGTTAGTTGTCCCATTTTGGTCATAGTCCTGAAAATCATTAATTCATTTAAAAGCAAGTGCTGGTAATGTAATTGTTTACCAGTGATCACATTGGCGAAGAAAGACACAGATATAGAGGTACTTCAGTCTTTAGTATCTGATAAACAAGTTTAGTTGATAAAAATGCAAAGAAATCTACTTACAATTTGAAAACTCATATATTCGCTAGTTTCGTATTGTTTCATTTAAACATAATTTTGTGCTAGTTATCATCACAATTTTAATCTTTTTGAAAGGGAATTCCTTTCAGTCTGTCCGCTGCCACATCATGTGATAAGTTTGACCTCAAAATGGTAGGAATATTACTACTTTAATAAACATTACCAGGACGCATTTTATAAGATGGCCACTGGAACTATCTAGTTGTTTACGTAAGCAATAAAGATTATTTTCAGAGTCTGATAACTAAAGAAGTGACATGGAAAACAAAATATGGTCAAAATAATGGTTAATACATCAAAATTATTCATACATTTATTGAAATCATGAATTTAATGTCTGTTTTTTCCCCTTCAATGCGCGAAATCTACGCAGACATAAACTGACAAAAGACAAGCCAACAATTGTATTAGCAAACTTATATACAAATCCGTTTCTGACCACACTACTAAGTATTTTAAATATGGATTTATACTATAGTTTCAACATGTGCATGACACCATGACATTAATTTGATATATTGGCATTTAATATAGTACAGTGATTAAAAAGACTGTTCTTTTGCTTTTTGAAATGTGCTGTAGTATTGCATAGTTCAGCAGATGACTAAATATACAAGATTGTTCTGATTTTAACTAGGTTTCTGTGTACCATTCAGGGCCTTTTTCCCCTTCTTTGCTGTAGCCTGTATCAGGCTACTTCCCCAAGCCAAATTACTACCTTTTTTCCCCAAAAAACTGTCTAAATTTCCCCTTCTGGCAAATATTTCCCCTTTAACTGAAGAATAAAACTTGTAAAGAAACTTTCTTGTTTTAAAATAGATAATTGTTTTGTCCAATGAAAGCTAATAATTCAATAACCCAATAGAGGGATACCTTGATTTAATACAATTGATGTTAACTCAGAGCCTCAGTCTGAGTTTGCAACTTTCTAAAAACAGCATGGGAAATCCCTGCTGCCTTATTTTTTAGTGCACATGTGATTTGTTACGACAATATGGCGACCAATACGATGTCACTAATGTAAACAATGTCACAGAACAAGGAGAAAATACGATTGAGTGACGTTTGTAATTGTTTATTAAAAATTGGATGAATTGATGACCTTGTGTCCGAGTAGCACAACATGCCCAACTGTCGGAAATAGCGAGCCTAGCACATCAGTGCCAGTAATACAGTGTAAACTGATAATAATGTACCCTCTGAATCAAACCAAGAACCCTCACATGACCAACATAAAATACTATAAATAGGAAATATGAGTTAATATAAAGGGTTAATAAATTGATCTGTAAAAAATGTTTTTTACTCCTGTTGGACAGAAAGCTTAGTACTATAGTAAACCTTAAATGTGATTGGAGGAAGATATGCAAATAAATTATGATATTCCCCCGAAATGTGTGAAAATATGATATTTTCCCCAAAAGTGTGGAAATCGCGCATTTTTTCCCCACAAAAAGGGCTAGGGCGCCTTCCCCAAAACTAGTGAAAAGGCCCTGACCATGTGACATACTCTAGATAACCTATGCTGGCATTCAGTTGATCTTTAAATTTTGAAAAGTGTAGAAACAATTACATCAGCTGGCTACTGTTAATTTACTTTCTTTTTCTGACAAAAAGAATTTCAAAAGATACATTTTCACAACAATTCACAAGACAAATCTTATGACTTTGATTTATATTTCTTTAAACCTTTAGACAGCATTGAAGACAAAATGGTATGTGGCACATGTACCTAACTGGAAATAAAAGATAGCACGGTGCTAAATGTCAGTTGCTTGTTTCCAGTTTTACCCTACAAAAATTTTGTTTCAATTTCTGTAAATAATTTATGAGTAATTCTGATTTGGATGTTTAATTTGTTGTTATTTCATAATACACAGTTATAATGATTTAGAAACTATTTTTTGTGACACTTTTACTATATGATCAATGGTAATTATTGAATTAAATTTTGCTTTATGAGTTATTTTTATACTTATTAAACATATAAAAAGGCACTGACTGCTTGCCTTTGAACAACAAATTAAACAAGGAAACATGAATGCAAATAGCATATATATTCATTATATGTTTAGTTACTCTAAAATTCCCTTTTTTTACAATAATAATGAAAATGCCTTTTCAGAGAAATTCAACAGCATTTAATTCAATGATTGGGAATTTTATGTTTTACCTACAGAAAAAAGTATAATGATCGTTGTGGCATCATAATCATTGATGCTGTTGTCATGCAAAACAAACTTGTAGTATAAAACATTTTTTAGACATTGTAAATAGTATCAACATGAAGCTTAGAATACTTTATTATCATGACATGGTGCATTGTTCTGAAAGCTTTTCTTGACCTAAGCCCCTTATAAGCCTAGTGGTCAAAATTGCTTATTAGGTAGAACTACATGTATTCAAAATTATGAAAGGTATCAACATTTGATTATCATGACAAGGTGCAATTGTTAGACAGGAGACAGTATCATGGAAGCAATATTTTTATGAGTTATGTCCCTTTTTAACTTGGAATTTTGTGAACATTGCTTATTAAATAGGATGATTTCAAAACTATCAAAACTATGAAACTTGTAATACTTATAATCATGACATGGCACAGTTGTTTGACAAGGGGCATTAACCCGAGAGAAAAGTTTTAGGAGTTGTGTCCCTTTTAAACTTTATAAAAATTGATTATTGATAGTCTTAACAGACAAATTTATGTTAACCCTACATGTGGAGTTCCTGTTTCAATATTGGTCCGTTTCACTCATATTGGCCAAAGTGTTTAATATTGCCCTTTTGTTCATATCAATTGACTTTAAAATTGTTTTACAGGCAGGGCTGAAAAACTAAATTAACATGTATAAATTATCATAAATTTTATAATAAGTGTAGAAATATAATTTATTGTCTCAACAAGTAGTTCTGCAGTCTAGTCATGTTTCATTATACATTTATTTGCTTAAATACAAAAATAAAATTTATTACAAGTTATAACAAGACTGTTGTTGCATATTCATGTTCATATTTTCTTTGATTATCTCTGTACTTTACTTCCTGAAAGATCTTCAATCAGTCTTTTGTTAAACTTCCTATGGTTATTAACCTTTTGATCCAAATTTTATCTTCCGCAACAAAACATTAAAGAAAAAAAAAACAAAAAAACTCATTCATTTAGCTAGGGTTGTTATTGAATATTCAAATATCTATATAAATTTATATCAGCTAATCAATAATGTTAAAGTAGGAGGTCAGTGGCCAAGTGGTTAAGGTTGTTGGCTTTAAATCACTTGCCCCTCAATGCTATGGGTTTGAATCCTGAGAGGAACTTTTGATTCTTTCATGTTGGGAAGCTATCCAGCCAGCTTATGCAACTTTTGAGGTTATACTCCGGTGCCAATTTGTGCCTGAAATAATGCACACAAGGGCACCTTAAGTATTCCTCCACCAGAAAAGCTGGAAGGTCGCCATATGACCTAAACATTGTTGGTGCATCATAAAACCCAAACAAATCATCAATATTCAACATTCAATACATTATTGATTCACAGTTTAGAATACTGATACAATTTAAAACCCATTTTTCTTGTTTCTTAAGAAAATATTTCTCTATTTTCTACATTTGTCAGAAGGGGAGAAGTTACTTGTCTCCCCTTATTCTTGGCTAGCTTAAAATGTGAATTTAATTTTCAGCTAGAAAACATACTTGTTAAGTTTGTAGTGTTTGTGATATCTAAAAGAAGCATGCATAACACCATGGTAACAGTTTATAACACATATTTAAATGGTGTCAACTGTAATATTTAATTACATGTATCATCCATATACAGCTCTCAATAAATAGGCGATATTTGGCTTTTGATACATCAGTACAAAATTTTCCATCCATGACATCCCTTAATAATGTAATGAAGTGAAGAAAAAAAACAATTTTGCAGAATAGCTGCCAAATTTTTTTATTGAAATACCCTGCAAAGAATAACCCCTTATATAATGAATTTTAGACTGTGACCTAGACTGCCACCATGGCTACAGAGGTGGAAATTGACGACTCCTTGTACAGGTATCTATAAATATTTTATACAGCATAATATTTCACTGATAATAATCTAATTCTATCAAAATTGAATGCCAATATAGGAGAATGTTTTAAAATAAAAATAAAATGTAATAGAAAATAGAATAAGAAAGTTAGCAATTTATCAGCCTATAAATGGTAGAGAAATTATGTCAGATTTATAAACTTCAATTTAAAGTCTACAAAACCAATAAACATTAAAAAAAATAAGAGTGTAGAAGAAAAGCAGAAAATTTAACATGGTTGGAATTTGTTCTCTAGACTGTTAATTTTGGTTCATAGAGATGTAGGTAGAAAACTGTTTAAACAACTTTTAATTAACCAAGGTTGGATATTTTTATTCATCTTCAACTTCTGTCATGTGAGAGAGCTATCCAGCTAGCTTATGGAATGTCGGTGGTTCTACTCAGGTGCCCGTTTGTGCCTGAAAAAATGCATAAAGGGACACCTGAGGTCTTCCTCCACCAGTAAAACTGGAAAGCCATATGACCTATGTTGGTGGCTTGCTTGGTTCTGTGTAGATCCCAACGAGACAAAAATTCTGTTACAAATATTTTTTGGTAAGTGACAAGAATCAAGCTGTCATCATTCAAAATTTGCCGTATATGTGAAACTGTATGCACTGTGTTTTTCTTACAATATAAAATACATTGTAACCATTGTCCTAGTCGACAGAGATATGTATTGGGTGATGGTGCTATGAAGAGGATGGCCAAGGCTTCAGTTCTACTGTATGGTATGGGAGGTCTTGGTATAGAAATAGGTTGGTAGAAACGTTTTCAGCATTCTGTTAGTAAAAATTCTACAATGTTTTTGATATATATGAACATTAGACAGTTCTTTAACAAAAAAAGAAAGAAAACAAGAATTATGTTAGAAGAAATTGAATTCTAGACATTCAGACAATGATGTAATGTAAAACAATGGTCAAAATATGCCAAATAACCAGTCTTACTTGAATATTTTTCTACCAGGTGGTGTAAGAGTTGCAGACAATAATAGGCATTCATAATCATAATCAATGTGAAACTTAAGAGTTTAATAAAAAAGATAGCATTCTAGAGGGTCAAATTCCCGCATATGGGGACAGATTTCACGATTGCAAAATGTGCCTTACCTATTACAAAAGAGATGGAATTGACAGAGTACAAAATTTTTGTATGTATAAAATTGTCACAGAATTATTTATAAATCCGTCTTACTATTTAAGTATGAAGTAAATGAATTTACATGACTATTTAAATGACTATTTTATGTTGTTTTTACAGGGAAAAACATTGTCCTTGCTGGAGTCAAGGTAATTACTTTTGTTTCATTTTAAATGAAAACACAGCTCTGCTGCCCAATATTTGTACTTGCTAAATAAGCTCTCTAAGTAGCTATAGAAGGTCGGTAGTTTTATTCTAGTGCCTACTGGTGCCTGGAATAATGCTCGTACAGGCACCTGATGCATTCTTCCACCAGAAAAGCTGGAAAGTGGCCATGTGACCTAAATAATGTCAGTGTGACTTTAACCCCACCTCCATCTGCCCCCACAACCAACCCACTCAATTTCAAAAAGGTACAACTTTGAACATGCAAAAAATGATGAGGAATTGATCTAGTGAATCAAATATTAATGAACTTTTAATATTTTTTAGTATTTCAGAACATTCTCTATAGTTTTATTTTGTCACCTTAGTGCAGTAATAGGTTAACTCCTGTTAAATCTTAAAGGGTATAAAGCTATATCCTATAAATAGTTTCATAAAATTTATAAACAGTAAAATAATTTTGTTTCGATAATTTTATGGTCGACTCTCGAAGAGTTGTGACATAAAATGTCTCTGTTATTTAACAAGCATGAATATTGTATGTAAACCGAATAAAATGATCGGGAACAAAATATTATTCTGCTATTTTAAATAGGGTTTTAACTGTTTTAGCAATGATTTTGTGCATGTGCCATTAAATTTGCTTTAAAGGCTATTTACTACCATATTTAATTTATACAAGCATTTAAGAGGTATTCACATTAAAATTTAAGCAATAATTTTTGCAGCAGACATATAGCTTTATACACTTTAATAGGAATTAACCTGTAACTTTAAGTTGATGATAACAGATTAATCTTTTATCAACACCTGAGTGCAATAACTGGTTAACTCCTATTAAATTTAGAAGGACTTAACCAGGTACAGCACAAAGATGAAAATATAGAAATTATTTGACGATATATCATACATCATCAACTTAGTACAATAACGGGTTAACTCCTATTTAATTTACGATTTAACCTGTTACTATACAAACATGAAGATATAGAAATTTAGCAATATAACAATTAAAACAATGGTATTTCACAAGATAACTACTGAACCAGTTTGCCAGTGGTAATTATGTGATGATAATATTAGTACTAAGTTAAAACTGGATTAAACTATACCATGCATCTATATATTGATAAGAAATTAATGTACTCGTGAATTATTGCCCATCTTGATTACATTACCATCGTGTCAGTTTGTCTTTGAACTGTCCCTCGATGTTCGAAGTTACGGTCACTGGTAAAATGTGAGACAAGTAACATGGGGATAACGGGACATCTGTTTTCCTTTACTCCATGAATAATACATGAGTATATATCAGAGAGTCTTTGGTCCAAACAGGTTTGGGATAGGCATGTTTTAATCACGTACTTTCCGTCAGGTATCAAAGTTTGTGTTTGGTGATATCTATAAGCATTAAATCTTTGTCGCATAATTGGTTAAACTGAAATGACAAAAGTGGGCTCAATAAAAAGAAACGAAGCTGATTCGCTACAATTACAAAACTTGCCAATACAGATCTGATACATGTATATAATAAATGAAGGTTTAATTAATCCTAATTGTTGATAATGGATCAATATTAATCATTTTAAATGCAATGTGATTATTTTACAATTTACATGAAACCCGTGCTATGAAATACGCAAATATGTCACATATTGAAGTGTATGTATTAAATGAATGCTAGCATGAGAAAAACATCCCTTAATGTCACTTCATTTTTTAATTGACATATTGTATTTCCTAAATAAATAAAAAAACTTTTGAAATTTGCTTATTGTTACTATTCATATTTATCTTTAACGTTTCAAGGGTAATTGACTTCTATATTTTAAATGGCAATGACAATGTTTACATCTTTTGACGTCATTTGTAAATTGAGATTAATTTTGTGGATGAAGGTTGCTGACATCGGCTTATTACAGAGTGCCGGAGGTTCGAATCTCACTCAGTTACAGAATGTTTGTTCTACCCTGATGCCAGTTTGTTCATTATACAATATAAGAGAAACACATTAGCTAAAAAAAAATTGTTTAATTGCTGAATGACCTTAGCATGATTGTGTGGCATGCAAACTGTAGATAACATAATATCGGTATTGGAAACTGATCGCCCACTAACAAAAAAAAATATGTCACAGATAACATTAGATACAGGAGATTCTTGCTTTATCTGTACTTAGGAGCCTGACATATAATGATCCAATGTTTATCCAATAATTGATTACCAGTAATTGAAATATTAATAATATAATCTCTTATCAAGATAATAGACTGATACCAGAAATACCATGTAATATATAATTGATTTTATTTGTCAATACTTTGCCCATTAACGGAAATTTTAGAATTACTGGAAAGGAAGGTACTTTTTCCTAGGGGCAGAAATTTATTATGCATGACCAAATGGTGTGAAAGTAATTTTCACGATAGAGTTAACATATTTGTGTTTATTTGCTCTATTTTAGTGCTTGACAGTTCAAGACCCCAATATTTCCACTACATTGGATCTTGGAACACAGTTTTTCTTGCGACCAGAAGATGTACAAAATAAAAAGAACAGGTGACAAGGAAGTGTTAAATCTTGTTTTAGTTCAAAATAAACAACATTAAACACACTACTGAAAAACTACAGTACCACCTCTGTAGAGTAGCCCCGCCCCCTTTTGGGAGTGAAAAATTGTGGTGTTGCTCTAGAGAGGTTTGTGAAGTCTTGATTTAGAATTAATTTATTATTCTACATTAGCCAAAATTATTTTTCTTATTTCTGCACCATTTGACCTAAATTGTGTTGGTGCATCGTAAAAGCAAACAAAACAAATATTACACTATAGAGGGCTGCTTTGCAGAATTCACAATACTTATAACATGTAGATGGAATTGTGAAGTGTGTGCCTTTGTTTTTATTTAGTAGATCTTTCTGTTATCCAACCACTAAATTTTTTTTTCAAACTGTTATGGCTGGTTTGATTGGGCTCTTCTAAGAAGAGAATTAGCAAGTTAGAAGACTGCTGAAAAGAAGGCCAATAGAACATTCGGCTGTCATTTAAAAATGGCATCCTGTCAGACTATTTTAACCTTTATAATAAATTATTTTTTGCTTGATTTGTGATAAAATATTTATTTTCTCAATCAGAAGAAAGTAAAAATGTAAACAACTGCAGTATTATAAGAGCTCTTCTAATTCTGGTAGCTCTTCCATTTTCTCTAATGAACTGACCATTTATGCCACAAAGAGACATACTAGTATTCAAAATCATTTTGGTAAAAAAACAAAACATTTGATTGTGATGAAATCTTTCTTGACAATTTATTTTTATATGTTAAGAAATAAATTAAGTGTACTTTTACTATATATAGAACTACATTCAGTAAATGATTTCGTCAAATGTTATATTTTTAGAGCTGAAGCAAGTGTGCATCGCCTGCGAGAGTTGAATCCATACGTCAGCATAGATACCCTTACAAGTGCGCTGAATGAGTCAACAGATTTACAGTACCTGAAACAGTTTCAGGTAAACTTGCCTAGCCAGAAATAGATGACCTTCATAGAATTGTGGATTAGATTTTGCCTTGATTTAATATTCACAAATTTATTGATATATTGTTATGAAAAACATTGTTATAAAGCAAAGTCAATACACATAATTTGTATGAACAATTTGGTCAATACAAAATGCACAATGCTGATAAATCAGTGGGGATGTATGTATTTATTTAGTTGTAAATGACTTAATTTTCATCAGAAAAATTGCTTGCAGAGTGGTTTAGATTGCTAGCTGCAAATCACTTGGCCACCTACCCTCAGTCCATACATCACCCCTCATCTCATCAATATTGGTTGAATCCTATAGGGTACTTTTATTGGTTGAATCCTATAGGGTACTTTTATTGGTTGAATCCTATAGGGTACTTTTATTGGTTGAATCCTATAGGGTACTTTTATTGGTTGAATCCTATAGGGTACTTTGAATTCATTCATTTTAGAAAGCTTAGTATGAATTGCTTTCTCAACCCAGGTTAATGGTTCTACTCATATACTCAAAGGGGCACCTGAAGGCTTCTTTTACCATTAATGCTGGACAATCACCAGTATGACCCTTACATTGTTAGTATTATTTTAAAGCAGCTTGTTTCCAGATTTGTGTCAGATTTTATGAAAACTTTTAATTTGTTTCTATTACTAAAAATATCATTTGTATACATTAAGTAAGTACATATAGCTTATGGCACTTACTATCAAATAAAATTACCCTTTAGTTGCCAAAATATTAACAAAATTCTGCTTTTTGAATAATACATTCAAACTTTCAGCATTATTGTTACTATATATATATATATACATTTCTAAGGCTATAAATATATTTTTCTTAAGAGATTTATTTATGTCATCTGGGCATGCCACTTTAAACACTAACTTTTGTTTATTTCAGTGTGTGATCCTTACAGAACTGCCTCACTCTGTACAAGTTAATGTGAACTCATTCTGCAGAACAAATGGGATACAGGTATTGTGTTTAACTTTGTTTACAGTGGTTCTTTATTATTTTGCTTAAAGATACTGATTGGACCATTATGTTGATTGTTTAAAGGTAGTTGTTGAAGTATTTTCATGTAATTGATTGTATAAATAGACCATTATCCCTTAGTTAGATGCATGGCAAAAACTATTGTTAGTACCTTGTTATAACCCCAATTTGAAGGGCTGCCTTGGATAAATGGTCAATGTTTATAATCATGGTCAACTACTTTCTATTCTATCAGAACTTACAGTAGAACTTCGTAAGTTGAAGTTAAACAGAGTATTATAGAGCATTATAAGCTGTATAAAATCTTTTTAACTAGGTGTATATTGCTTATGTAATCTTCCCATACTAGTTTATGGAAAAAAAGCTTTCAACAGTTTATTCTAGGCCATATTGCCTTTCAAAAATAACCCTGGAAGATCTGACTTAAACATGATAACAACAGTCCAGTTAGCAAAATAGGTAGAGCATTGAACTGTTAATCTGAGGAGAACCTGTGTTTGATTCCCGGATGGTACAGGTTATTATCCTTGTAAAGTACTTCCTACAGTCATTTGCACTTCCCTCTGCTCTAACATGTACATTTGTTATCAGTTCCTTACAAAGTGATGGCAAATAGTACTGGTAAACTGCTTGACAGCCTGGATAGGAAAGTTGCATTGGTTTGCGAATTTAACGTGGCTTACTGCCGTGATGCCTAGGGTAAACTACCACCACCAACCTAATAATAATGTATATAAACAATATCTATTATTGACAGTTTATCAGTGCCGATGTGTACGGTTTGTTTTGCGGAGCGTTTTGTGATTTTGGAGATAGTTTTAATGTGGTAGATCCAACTGGCGAGGAACCGAAAGAAGTTTTCATAGCTAATATAACAAAGGTGAGAGATATGTGTGTCATTTTAGAAAAAATATTTACATATATAGGCAGGCAATGACAAGTTTTGAAAAATATAGGTGAATAACGTAAAAATTAATTATTTGATGCCCAGGAGTGCTGTGTTATTGACCCAGGCATCATTCTAACAGTTGTTCCACCAGTATGAGTAAATTTGAAAATTATTTATGCTAATACAAGGAAAATGTGCAAATTAAAGTTATTATTTCTTCTAAATATGATTTATATGTAAAATGCAAGAAAAAGAATCAAGTTTTTACAGACAGAATATTTTGCTTTTTGACAACTGTTCAACAGAAATTTGTTACGGTCACAAACAGATATCCTCTAGCCAGATATACATTTATATACATGTCTGTCCTGGCAGACTGTAAGATTCCTACATTCTAGAACCAGTCTAAACATTAAAAAATCCAGTCTGATACGCAAAAACATGAATGTTATGACTCTTCAATACAAAGAAATTATGTCATGTTATTAATGTTATGCGCTGTCTGCAGTTGAACATTGTCTTCATTTATTTCAGGATAATCCAGGTGTTGTTACATGTTTAGATCATCGGATGCATGGGTTTGAGACTGATGACACTGTAACATTTAAAGAAGTTTCAGGAATGACTGAAATTAACAAAGTACAGTGTAAAATAAAAGGTATGTTTTTGTTTAACTAAGCTTGTAATTATCCTGGATTGTAAGATTTTAGAATTATGTTGTGTAAAGGTAACTGTTTCAACTGTGTATAGTTAAATTAATATTTCCAAATTCAGGGGGAGTCTTGGGCTGAGTGGTTAAGGTTGTTGACTTCAAACCAGTTATCCATCACTGTTGTTGATTCCAATTACACAAGGATCTTTAGTTCTTTTATGGTAGTACTACTGGGGTGCTGGCTTGTGCCTAAATAATGTGCGGAGGAGCATTAGAGGTCTTCCTCCATCAATCAAGCTGGAAAGTCACCATATATGACTTAAAACTCAAGCAAAGCAATAATAAATAAAAAACATGATAATTTGACATTTTTGAGGAAATTGGATTTATGCAAAGTTCATGCATTTAGATTTTTTTCAGCTTGAGTACTTTAAGAGTAATGATATTTATTAAATTTTGTTCATTGAAATTGATATCAATTAGTGTGTTGTTGTAGAATATTGCACATGAGTTGTTGTAATAAAATCACAAAGACTGGCTATGTTTATATTTTAGTGATATCACCATATGCATTCAGTATATGTGATACATCTGGATCAGATTTCTCTCCCTATATCAGTGGTGGTATCTGTACACAAGTCAAAGTTGCCAAAACTCTAACTTTTGTAAGTATATAAATATTTGTATTTACAGAAGTAAATTTTTTATCTTGTTAAAAGAGCTCCACTGAGGTTTTATTATAAAGCCTAAAAAAATAAAATTGTAGAAGCTTAAACTGGTCAACTGGGGCATTTAAAACAAAAAAGTATAAAAAGGAAATATACTTGTGATTAAATTGTAAATCAATTTTAAGTGTGATTCCCAGCCTGAGTTAAGGACATTAAAACGCTTTCATTTTTGGATCAGGCATGATGCTCCATAAAATTGAAACACAATATGTAAATGATCTGAAAGTTTTCACACAAGTTATTGGTATATACTGAGATAAAATGATAAAAAAAATTTATATATACTATATTACATTTTATTTGAAAAAAAAATTGTAATGACATAGAAACAAAGTTTAATCATTTTATATGATACGACTATTACATGTGCGTAGTTTAATTTAATAAAATGTTGTTTTTTACACCAGGAAAATTTGCAAACACAGTTGATAAAGCCAGATATTCTTGTAACTGACTTCAGTAAAATGGAGGTAAGTATGACAGTTTAGTTTTGAGTGTTTGTAATGAAACAAAATAGAAATGCATTTTAACAAAATATTAAGTGATATTTAAAAAACGACCCTATGTCTGGGAAGGGTATAATTTTTACTTATTCATGTGTAACATGAACCCTGAAATAATGAGAAACTTAACTGAGTAATTAATGTCTTTGAAGAAGAAATCCATATGTTGGAATTCCTCCCATTCTTTCAGACTGCACATTGCATGATTTGGCCCATAGATAGTATGAAATGTTCTTTATTCATAGATAGCTTAAAATAATCACATACAGGTCAAGTTAACATACTGGATCTTATTTGTAATGCTGTCTTACAATGAAACATAATTGCTCAAAGCCACAATTCTTTTAGCATTAACCGCCAGTGTCACTGCAACCGTTGAAAGAAATTGATTGGAAATTATAATATAGTAATTAATTAAATAATGCACAAGAAATGCATTTTATTACTTTCACAGTATTTAACTATAAGCCAGCTAGTGGTAACAGATTTTGTCCATCAGCAAAGACCAAGATCAGATGGGACATTCGTATAGTCTGATCATAGTCTGCACTACTGTATTCAATTACTAAATATTTTGAAATTTTCTCTAAAAATGATTAATGGTTTAGTTCAGATCAAAATATAGATAGGTCTATTTCAGATATTTGGTGCGGTAATAGCTAAATTTTGCTGCTTGATTTTGAATTTCTGCTTAGATGCCCCTATTGTTTTGAATGTTAGATCTTTTTTAGGGCTTTTATTTTTCATTTACTACAAGAACACAGCTGTGGGAATAAAATATGTTTTAATATGTAATTTAGGAATTATGTTTTTCAGGTACCCATCAGTATTCATGCGGGTTTCAATGCTCTATATAAATTCAGGGAATCACATGGACGACTGCCAAATGTATGGTAAGCTATAAAACAATGTTGCCATACCATGTGGTTTATGATGTCATGTGGTAAGACTTCACTACTAAGAATGAACATTGTCGTAATCAAATTGTAAATATTTCATACAAGAGAGGAATGGCCATCAAATTTCTATGATCTATTCAAGGGATGTTGTTATTAGTCCCCTACCGGTTTACCGGAGGGGACTTTAGGTTTACCCTCCGTCCGTCTGTCCGTCCGTCCGTCCGTCAGTCCGTCCACAAAACTGGATCCCGCGATAACGCAAAAAGTACTGAAAATATTTTAATGAAACTTGATATATGGATAGATGGCAATATGGAGATTATGCACGTCTTTTTCTTTTCTTCCTATGTTGAAAATTCTGGTTGCTATGGCAACAAATAGACTGAAAATATGGCAAATTTTACACATAACCTGGATCCCACGATAACGCAAAAAGTACTGAAAATATTTTTATGAAACTTGATATATGGATAGATGGCAGTATGGAGATTATGCACGTCTTTTTCTTTTCTTCCTATGTTGAAAATTCTGGTTGCTTTGGCAACAAATAGATTGAAAATATGGCAAATTTTACACATAACCTGGATCCAGTGATAACACAAAAAGTACTGAAAATATGTTTATGAAACTCGACATATGGGTAGATGGCAGTATGGAAATTATGCACATCCTTTTCTTATCTTCCTATGTTGAAAATTCTGGTTGCTATGGCAACAAATAGACTGAATTTCAAGATTTCTGATTCTAGTTTTTAAGTTTTTTTACTATAAGTTCTTTATTTCTTAAGGTATTTTCTTCAAACTTTAAATATAAGTTGCTTGTCATCAACCACATCATATGTGACAAGGTTCACAACTCTAGCACAAAATTTATCAGAATTACCTCCCTTGAACTTAAAATTTTCATGAAAAAAACATTGTTTTTTTTTTAATAACTTCTTTTTCTGAATGTATCTACTTCAAACTTCATATAAATGTTTCTTATTATCACTCAACATTTGTGAGTGTTCAATACTCTAGCAAGACTATTTCCAGAATTATGCCCCTTTTGAACTTAGACTTTTTTTTGAGAAATTGGTAATTTTTACTCCAACTTCTTCAATCATGATAGGATTTTAAAAATGTTATATTTTGATAACAGGGATGTTTAAAAAATAACTTTAGAGTGTCCTTCAGTCCGTCTGTCTGTACATAAAAACTGTTTCCTGTGATCACTTTTAAAGAACTTTTTCAACAAATTTACTTAAAATAGGAACCTTAGTGAATGGCCAATGGCCCTTCAGAATGTTGCTTGGGCTCTTACCGGTAGGGGACTTATGGATTGCTTGCAATACTATGATAATTGCTTGTTTTCATTTAACATGTTGTATATTGAATCAGTGGCAAAAAGAAAAGATTCTATAGTGAATGACCATAGATTTTGTACAGTAAAGGGAGGGCACTATGCATTATATGATGACTTACAAGGAAAGAAGAGTTACATTTCCTTGGTTCATTCTAATAAGACTGATCACAGGTGTAGACACAATTTAACCTTTAGTCTGAGCAATAGATTCTACCATTGTGATTGTCTGATCATAGTCTGACCTTTTTGCTACTCAAGTCAGTAAATATTTTTTTGAAATTTTCCCTAAGAATCGTAAATGGTTTTGTCCAGGTTAAAGGATAGACAAGTCCATTTAAGATATATAGCATGGTCAGGAAACATCTCTGGTAGTATACAGGTATCTCAAATTCTTCTGTGAATAGTTTATCTAGATATGTATTTTTCTAAGATGATTTTAAGCATTCCTAGGCTATTTTAACACTTACACTATTTCCACCAGTATAGAGATGAGGGAGCCTTCACATCTCTGCATTCTGACCTGGTTGCTTCGATTTTCTATTTTGATATTAAAATCCCTTAAATTCTCAATGGACAGGTCTAAATTCAAAGCAGGGCAAGTCCATTACACAAAAATTCAGCAATGGTAACAGTTAATTACTCCATGAAACAAATAAAATATCAATTTTATATATATATATATAGGTGTTCTGAAGATGCTGACAAGATGCTGGCTCTAGTCACAGAAATGAAAGGACAGGGAAAGTTCACTGACGTAAGACTTTTTACACTCTTGGTCAATAAATAGTGCAACAACAGATCAAATTTTGTCTGTCTGTTTTTAAGTGGCAAGATATAGATCAACAAAAACAAGTTTGCTCTTTATCCTATACAATTTCTTTTTCACTGACAGATTGTAAAATGTCTGTGTATTGCTCTTATTACTGAAGACCTCAGACTACAAATGGACTGTTGCAAACTCAAAACAGGCCATGTTGACACACATTTTGTATAGAAAAGTTTAAAGGAATTCCACTAAGCTTCAAAAGCATAAAAACATAAAATTTAAATTATTTCTCACATAGATCCACTGAAGCATTTAAAATAAAAAGATCTGCAAACAATAATGAAATTTACTGGGAACTGAATTGAAAATTATTTATTTGTCCAATTCTTGGCCAGATTTGAGTGAAATACATTTTAATAGTTTGTACTGAATTATGTGCCCTTCATAATGCTAATGATCTCAAGTTATTAGTGTTGAAGATTGAATACTGCTTCTGTATGAGCTAAGGGGCATGACAGATGTTGCACATTTACATTTATTCTCATGAACAGAGACAGTCAAACTGAGTCTGCAATTTTCAAATAACAATGTTCTTTTCATCAGGCTCGAGGAATCTCACCTTTTCTAGATTTTTATGTAAGTAATATTGTTTATTACAGATTGGTGAAATATCTGATGATGTCATCAGATTACTGTCATATACATGTCGGGGAAGTTTCCTACCTCTATGTGCTGCCCTCGGTGGTATAGTTGCACAAGAGGCCCTGAAAGCCATCACAGGAAAGTTCACACCACTCAAACAATGGGTAAGACACTGATTTTAGACTAATTTTTTTATCAAACATTTGACTTTACAGTTTTTTTCTTTACTTGTATTGATTAAAGTACAATTTAGCGTCAAAAGAAATGGTATCTATAGCTGTGTGGTCAAGGTCACTGACTTTGAATTACTTGCCCCACGCTGCTGTCATTTGAATATTTCTATGTAATAATGATTTTTTCATGTGGCAATAAGGAAGATATCCAGCCAGCTTATATGGCTCATAAGGGGTCAATTAGTCAATTATGAAGTAAGCATGGACCCTGTTCAAGCAGTTATCTAACTTTTTTGTCAGATAAATTACCGGGTATATTTTTTAGCTCGACTATTCGATAAGAATAAGTAGAGCTATTGCAGTCACCCGAGCGTCGGCGTCGGCGTAACCACTTATGTTAAAGTTTTTGTAATAGTTCAAATATTTTCAAAGTCCATTGACATATGGCTTTGAAACTTTGCACACTTGTTAACCATCATGACCCCAACCTGTAGACAGGAGGAGGTAACTCTATCAAGCATTTTGACAGAATTATGCCCCTTTTTCGACTTAGAATTTACGTTAAAGTTTTTGTAATAGTTCAAATATTTTCAAAGTCCATTGACATATGGCTTCGAAACTTTGCACACTTGTTCACCATCATGACCCCAACCTGTAGACAGGAGGAGGTAACTCTATCAAGCATTTTGACAGAATTATGCCCCTTTTTCGACTTAGAATTTACGTTAAAGTTTTTGTAATAGTTCAAATATTTTCAAAGTCCATTGACATATGGCTTTGAAACTTTGCACACTTGTTCACCATCATGACCCCAACCTGTAGACAGGAGGAGGTAACTCTATCAAGCATTTTGACAGAATTATGCCCCTTTTTCGACTTAGAATTTACGTTAAAGTTTTTGTAATAGTTCAAATATTTTCAAAGTCCATTGACATAAGGCTTTGAAACTTTGCACACTTGTTCAACATTATGACCCCAATCTGTAAACAGTAGGAGGTAACTCTATCAAGCATTTTGACAGAATTAAGCCCCTTTTTCGACTTAGAATTTACGTTAAAGTTTTTGTAATAGTTCAAATATTTTCAAAGTCCATTGACATATGGCTTTGAAACTTTGCACACTTGTTCACCATCATGACCCCAACCTGTAAACAGGAGGAGGTAACTGTATCAAGCATTTTTTTTACTATCAAGCACTAAGAATAGTCGAGCGTTGCTGTTCTACTGACAGCTCTTGTTTTAATGTTAACTCACACTACATATGTAAAGAAGAAGCAGAATTTTTTTTTTAGTATAATTATAATAATTATAACAATTATACTAACAGGGTTTTGTCATACAATATGTAAGAATAGGTTGTATTTTCATACCCTTGTAAAATAATATCTTTATGTTTATAGCTGTACCTTGATGCTATAGAAGTGATAGACAAAGATGACAGAGAAAGGTTGGAGTTATTTCAAGCAAAGTAAGTATTTAAACCTTACTAGCAACAATTATCATAAGCCCACATCACCAATATATAGCCAAGCCAGTCTAAACTTATTTATTTTAGCTTGATTTTGATGATGGCTTGAAACATATTTAAACCTTTCATATCTGATTGCTGAAACACCATTCATTATGTTTAATTATGTCGGGTTCCAGAACTTGGTTTGTCAAAATTGGAACTTGGCATATTGATGCTGAATTTGTCAAGTTTAGTAGTAAATTTTATCTAGTTGAGAATAACTGATGTTGAGAACTTATTATGTATGATGACCTATGGTCAAGTAGTCAGTATCATAATTATGCTACATTTATCTTACAGAGGTGATAGATATGATCAGCTGAGGATCTGTGTAGGAGAACATACTGTACAGAAATTACACCAGTTAAAGTTGTTTATGGTGAGATATTTTTACAAAGTATATACTTTATCATTACTCATACTCATATGACACAGTTTGACCATAACCTTCTTAATTTGTGTCATAGATTTGCCTTTTAATTTGGAACAGTAAATTCAAAGTTTTAAGTGATTTCAATATAAAATACAAAAATATGAGTTAAGAAGAGCCAGGTCAGACTGTTCTGATGTGCATGATGGGTAAAGGCTAATCACTGTTGGTTGCAGCTGGTTCGGGATTAAGTATCATTTATACGTTGGTTAAAGCTGCATGCCTCCAGATCAGCCAAAAAAAATCAAGAAAATCCAACTTGAGAAGATTGTACTATGAAGACCTTTTAAAATTGTTGACCTTTTTTTTTCATCTTTCAATATTTCATTGGGGCATATACTTTAAAGATAATGGTTATTATAGGTTGGTTGTGGTGCTATTGGATGTGAGATGTTAAAGAACTATGCTATGATGGGTGTGGCAACACAACAACCTGGCAAGATCACTATAACGGATAATGATCTTATAGAAAAATCAAATCTTAACAGACAATTCCTATTCAGACCGCAACATATACGAGTAAGTGCATTACATTTTTAGTTTGACTTTTAAAAGAAAAGCAGGTCTATAATATCAGGCCATATATTTGTGTAAGTGTAACACATGTTGAAACTTTTTCCAGTAAATTTTATTTAGAAGGTAATACCAGGATGCTATTGACATGTGATAATGGCAGAAGATGTCCAAAATGACCTGAGGTTGCCAGATTGGAAAGACATTATAGATTCCAGGGCAATTTTTGCATATGGTGAAAATGTTGGGCTGGGTTATTAGGCAGTTTTATTTAGTACATACAAATTAATTTTACTTTGATTATGTTGGAAGCTATAAACTTATTGAAACAGACTTAAATCTTTCCTGGAACTAACTAGTACTGAGAAATCATCAATAAGTGTAAAGTTTCTTGCTGAAGGAAACAACGGCTTGCCCCTGATGGGGTTTGAACCCACACTGCCAACAATCCTTAGGTTACTAGGCTGATGCATTAATCTCTCTTATTTAGGACATTTCTGTTGAGGAAGTGACATCAATCATCTTGTAATTTAGATATACAACATATTTTTCAGAAACCAAAGAGCACCACAGCAGCACAGGCAGTCCAACAAATCAATGCTGGTTAGTATTTCTTTATTATTCAATATTTATTTGATATATTGTACTTAACTTATTACTTTAAGTATTTGTATAAGTAGAGGTGCTTTCTTACCCTGGCATTTACTTGCATAATACTTGATTAGGGTTTTGTGTGCAACTTTATATCTTTTCAAGCAGTAAACATATTTATCTAAAACCTCACACAAGTTGTATGGATCATAATATAGATCATTGTCCAAGACCCATAAATCTAGCATGGACCTTATAAAAATTTACTGGATTGTTGAATTAAAAATGGTTTTGCTTGCAAGTTAATATCACAACATCTGAAAGCTTTCTTTTGAAATTTTACACCTGTACATAATTGTATGTCACTGACCATGTGCCTTAAATCCAGCACGGATTTTCACAGAATTATGCATGTTTGTGAATTTCTATTAAAACCCTACCAGCTGCTGGTTTTTATGATCAAAAAAGAATAACTGAGTTAAGTTGTATATCTTACAATTTTTTTTTGTTGCTCCATGTTATCAGGAACAAAAAATTAATGAAAATTTGATGACTGACTTTTCTCTTTTTGGACAGATATTCTGTTAGAAGCACAAAAAAAAAATATTTTAAAAAAGAGAAAATTTACCCCTTTCTTTAACAAATTTTCAAGCACAAAAATGTAGAAAATTTTTATAAAATTTAAAAATTATACAAAAAAATGTTTTTTTAATGATCTAGGTTATACTTAAAAAAAAAGGGTTCCCAAGAAGTTGATATTAATTTTGATATAAGAAGCTAAAGTATTAGTAATGAAAAAAAGCTAGGAACATGTGAATTTAAGTTAGGGTAATGGACTGAAATATTTTAATATTAAAAACTAGGTAATTTTTAATTCAAGTAATTTTAAAAGTGAAATTTGTATTCTATGTTTAAAAAGATGGGCATTTTGAATAAAGTTTGAAATAAAAAAAAACTTTTATATTCAAGGTTTGAATATAAAAAAAAACTTTTAATTCAATTTAAAAAGAAAATTAAAAGATAGGGACTTTGTTTCAATTTGGGGGATATTTAAAAAAGTGGAATTTTTGAAAACCCCAAGTTTTGAAATAAAAGATAGGGACTTTGGTTTTCAATTATGATATTAAAAAAAACAATTAAATTTTTAAAAGAAAAAAAGAAGGGCATTTTTGTTTCAAAATGTTATAAAAGTAGGGCAAGTTGGGTATTTTTTTATGTTTAAAAGCGGGGAACATTTTTGTTTCCAAGTTAGATAAAAAAAAAGATGGAAAAATTTGTATTAATTTTTATTAAAAATTACGTTATTTAATTTTAAAAAAAAAGGGGAATTAATTTTTGTTAAAAAGCTGGGAGACTTATTTTTTAAATTTGTTCATGTGCCTTTTCTTAACTAGTGTACAGGTTTAAACATATAACCAAAAATAGGCCCTTAATTAAAAAAAACTTTAACTTTAAATTTTAAAAGAATTTTGGGGTTTTACTCAATAACACCAATAATATGACAAAAAAAAATGGCATTTTAAAATTTATACAAAAAAATTAAGGATATCCCTTTAAAAAAAAGGTTTTTCCAGTTATTAATCACAATTGTTTTTTGAAAATTACGGGGCTGGATTTTTACTTTTTTTCACTTTTAACAAAAAAACTTTAAGTCGGGAAACTAGGGGGAACAAAAGGTCATACTCAGTTTTTGTAGCTCATAAAGAACCCCTATGGATCAGGTACAGGCACTATAATTTATTTAATTTTCTCATTTAAAAAGCAGGCTTGTCATAACTTTTTTTGGGTTTTCCCTGACGGCGGTAGATTTAAAATTTCTTCCCCTGCCCCAAATTTTGCTTGCCCTGAACTGAAAAAATGATTGAGCCATTATTACAGTGCGTAAGTTAGTCTAGAGATGAAAGCAATTAAAAAATGCGTATGGTCAACCTTTTTTTATACTATTTTTAAAAAATTTTTGTAAGTGGGAAAAAACTGGACCATTTTTAAAAGGGTAATTTTTTACACATGGCTCCTGCAGGGTTTCACTTTTTTGGGTTAAATTGTACATTAAATGTTTTTTTAAATTTCAGGGGGAGACCCCCCCTGATAGGAGTCCATACTGCACAAAAAGTCATTCCCAGCAAATATAGAAACTGAATAAAATGGCCCAGGGTAGGTTTTAATTTGCCCCCCACCCCCCACAAACACATGACCCCCCTTTTAGTTTGGTTAATTGTTTGTATAATAAGGATACGTTGCCTTCATGGCAATTTTGTGTTACGATGACTTCTTTCTGTCTGACTGGAAGTAGTTCTGGGGTTTGTATAAGTAAATTTGTCTCAAAAAGATGTCAATGTACGAGGAGAAAAAAACATGCGTTGAACCTGACTGGTTTAGCTTGTAAACACATAGAAACACTGTTCTAAAGAATGAGAAAAAATTGATTTCTTGAGACAGTGACAAAGTGAGGAAATAGTCCAGACTCAGTGATGGAAGATATTTAAGTGAGGAATAGAAAAAATACCAAAAAAAGACTCTTAACAGCCCACAACACCCTGGATAATAGTTTAATTTTAGAAACTTTTTTTGTTTCCCTTATTGTTTATAAAAAAAAAACCCTAATAAAACTTAAGGTGCAAAGTATTAGACACATTCATGCAGACTAACCAGGCTCTATACTGTTTGTAGCTGAAATTTTGTACTTTGTAATGTTGAAATCCCTGAATCTTTGAATGATCTGCTCAAAATTTAAAACAAACAGATCCAAAACAGAAATTTAGGGGGTTAAGGATTTATTAACGTAATCAATACAAAATGTCTTGTTATTAAATATCTATTTTTTACAGCGTTTATCAGAAAGTCAACCAGTAGAGGGCGCTGTTCAAGCTAGCAAGTTACTCGTGTTTCGACCAAAAGATTGGCCATCTTGTGTACATATAGGAAGACTCAAGTTTGAGAAATATTTCAATCACAAGGTAAAGTAAAAGTACTAAAATTATAAATAAGGGTAAATACAAAATTGATATTTTTTTAAAGGTCCATTAAGCTTCAAAAACGCTGTCATTTTTATTTTTGGTGCCTTGTTTCAGTTTCCAATACATTATTCATGGGCCAGATAATTAAGACATCCTTGCTTCTTTTGCGTTTTGGTAATTAGTACAGTTAGTGAATTAGTATTTTGTATAAAAGTCAAAATACCTCTCTGTTTATATTTTGCTACCTATAGCACAATATTTTTTTTACAGTCAACGCTATTTTCTTCAAGTTATAAGCATTTCAAAGTTTTTTAACCATTATTACAATATTATAAAACACATGTTTGACCTTTCTAAAGAAAGACAAAATTACTTTTTTTTAGGCATAATTTGCTTTAAGTAATGATGACAGTGAAAGTTCTTATGTTAAAAAAAATCATGTCAGGGCCATGACTTTGACATTAGGAGATGATGTGTTGTACACAATGACAGAGGTCATTAGAGTTATCAAAAATATTTTTGAGGTTCAGTTAGTTGCAAAAGATTAAAAATAGAAATTGAGAGAAAAGTTTGAGCTGTATTTAACATTTATAGTGATAGGCAATGAAGGGCTTAAGCATTTTAAGGAAAAATATGCCATAAGATATTTTTCTTTCGGTGGTCTTGTTGACAGGTTTCTACTGTATGTTTGTTATAGTACATGTATTATGATGATTTGTAAGTTTTGTTAATAATGTTTATTGTTAAGGGGATAATTGTTGAGAAGTTCAAAAATATAAAAAGATAATTTAGTTGAGAAAACATTGGCTTACAGTTAACAAACATTTAGATATTTGTATAGTTTGGAAGCTTGTTTAGACATACTTTGTTTTTAAAAGATGGTATGATTAACTGTATGTGTATATTGTGATTTTATTTTGTTTATTTCAGGCCAAACATTTACTTCACGCCTTTCCTCTAGACACAAAGATATCAGATGGAAGTAAGAAACTTTATTACTTTATTTGACAACACTTTTTAACTTGTCACTAGCAGTTATTTTAAAATTGTCACATGGATGATAATCACTAGGGGGAATCTGTGGCTAAGCTGTTAAAGGCAATGCCTTCAAACCACTTGCCCGTCATTGCTGTTGGTTTGAAACCTGACATGAGTATGTATTCTTTTATGTGCGCTATCTGGTTATGGACTTTGTATACTTTCATGTGAGGAGGCTTCCCAGCTAGCTCATGGAACTCCGGTGGTTATTCGTACCTGAAATAATGCATGGAAGGGCACCTCAGGTCTTCCTCCACCAGTAAAGCTGGAAAGTCACCATATAACCTACACTGAGTCTGTGCTGGTGTGACATTAAACTCAATAAAAAGATAAAAAATGTTGATCACTAACTTTAGTGTAACCAACTTTTCAAGATACTTTTGAAATTTAAAAAAACTTGTGTAGAAAAAGTTGTATATTATATTTTAAGTATCAGAATTTATTTCAGCATTAGGTGGCCAAATGATCTAAGTTGCTTATTGCTAAGGGTTTGAAATGCAATCCAAGACTGGAGTAGTCTAACCAGCTTGCTCTCTGAAGGTCAGTGTTCTGATGAGGTTTGAACCTCTTGTGTCTGAAATAAATCATGTAGGGACATGTGATGTATTCCCCACTAGTGAAGCTGGAAATTTGCCATAAAATCTATCAGTGTCAATGTAACAGTTAAAACACAATAAAAATGATAAAAAGGAATAACAATAACTTGAGTATTAACTTTCATTTGTTTCTGTTATGACGTTACAGGTCCATTTTGGCAGTCACCTAAGAGACCTCCTACTCCAATACAGTTTGATTCCAGTAATCCTTTGTAAGTATAATACTTGAAGATAAATAAGGCAAGCAGATAAATGAGGCAATATTAACTTAACTACACAGATGAATCAATTCATTGTAAGAAATTATGGTAATCCTGTTATGTTGAGACCTTTAAAAACATGAGTTTTCAACCGACTCACCTACTCACCGACTTTCTTTCCTGCTGTAACAATATGACAAGATGTAAGGCACTGGATGTATGTTCTGGAACCAAGCTTTTTGTGAAGGCTTGTATTACTGCTATCAAAAGGCTAAGGGTTTTTTGAAAAGTATAGATTGTTATTTTCCATACTACACATTAGGATTGGTATGTTTAAAAAAAGGTAGAATAGAAAGAAAGAATATCTTATGAGCATTACCGTTAAAAATTTATTTCTCTCAAACCTGTTTTCTTCCAAGAGAAGGCAGTATGCTGTTGCAAGCTTCATTTCATTTGGGACTGATGGCTTAGTGGTGAAAGTGTCTACTTTTCAGCCCAGTGATTTTGAGTTTGAGCCTTATTGGAGTCTATACCACACATTCTCATACCGGTATGACACCAGTACATGGGGACTCCAGATCACTTTAGATAAGCAGAAAGCCTTTTTCACAATCAATACTAATTAAATGATATTTAAACTAAGGGCATAACATAAATTCAAAAGGACAAATGTTCAGCTATAAAATATTTTAAGTTTAATTGTTGAGCATGTGATAAAGTTAAGGCAAACTGATGTCATTTTGTTTATATGTTTCAGGCACCTCCAGTTTGTTATTGCAACAGCACATCTATATGCAGATAATAATAAAATATCTGTACCAAAACCCGTGGATATACAACAAATAACAAAGTTTATAGCAGATGAAAAATTCCCAAATTTTTGGTCCAAGTAAAAAGGGGTTAAAATTTAGACACAAAATTTTTAAAGGGGAAAAAATTTAAAAAATTTTAACTTTTAACAAAAAAAAAAAGAAAAAACACAAAATTTTTAATCAAAATTTTCCAATTAAAAAAACTAATTTTATCTAAACATTAAACATTTAGGAAAAAAACCCTTTTTTGCCCTGAAAATTTTATTTTCCAAGTTATTTCTATTACCTTTCCAAGAAAAAATTTTGGCATAAAACCCACATCTAAATAAGTTATTATGTTATTACAAATTTAAAGTTTAAAACCTTTTGGGAATTTTTTTTAGGGGTAGAGAGATTTGTGAAACAAAAACATAAAGCCTTTTTTGAGACAAAAGCTCGGGTTTTGTCAATTGAATAAATTTTAAAATCAATTTATCCCCCCCAAACCGGGGGGGAAAAAAAACCCCCAACCCCCCCCCCATCACCGCCGGGAAAATTTTTCCAAAAAAAGGGTTAAAAAAATTTGAAATTTAAAGGGGTAGATAGATCATTTTGGGGAAGGGGGATTTCCCAAAAAGAATATAATTTCTCCCCCTGAAAATTTTTTCATTTAATTCCCCTTTTGTTTTTTTTTAAAATTAAATTTTTTTGCCCAGAAAAAAACCCAAAAAAGTTTAATGAGATATCAAAATGAAATTTAAAATAGGTAAATAACCCACTCAGGATTAAAGGGAAACAAAAAAACCCAACCCCATTTTTTTTTTAGTTTTTGCCCTTTTTTAAATTTTTTATACTTTTTTTTAAAACCATAATTGGGAACAAACCAAAAAAAAGTCTTTGAGATGTCAAAAAAGAAATTTCCCATGGTGGATAATTTTACTGAGGGGGAAATGATGTAAAGAAAAACTTTTCCCCGAAAATTTTTCCCCCTTTTTTTTTCATGCTTTTGCCGGGACTTACAAAAAAGGGAAACAATTGAAAACCATAGGGGGAAAATCCCTTTGAAGGGGGCCATCACAAAAATTTAAACCTCCCCGCAAAATTTTTATTAACCCTTTTGTTTTTTTCAGCAATTTTTTTCCAACAAAACCCAAAAACCTTGAGATACAACATGAAATTTCATGGGTGGAAAAATTTCTCATAGAGGAGGAGTGAAAGCATTCCTGCAAAATTTTTTTCAGTTTTTTCCCCCTTTTTTATTTTTTGTTTAAATTTTTTGTCCAAAAGCAAAAAACAAAAATTTTTGAAAATTTTAACAAAAAAACCCCATAAAATAATCCTTTAAAGGGGGACCCCGCACACTACCTCAAAATTTTTTTCAAGTATTGCCCTTTGTTTTTTTTCATGTTTAATTTTTTCCGGGGCAAATAAAAAAAAACCCCCTTTTAAATTTGAATATCAACATAAATTTCATGGGTGGATGGGTTTAATCATTCGGGGAAAAGGGGGGTGTAGCACAAAAGAATGAAACTCTACCCTGCAAAATTTTTTTCAGTTTTTGGGCCCCTTTTTTTTTTCCAAAGGGCTTAATTTTTGTCCAGGGGCAAACTAAAAAACCTTTGAGATATCAAACATGAAAACCCATAGGGGGATATATCCCCATAGAGGAGTCACACATAAAAAAGTTTTAACCTACCCTCTTTTTTTTCATTAACCCTTTTTTTTAAACCAAACACATTTTTTCAAATTTTAATTTTACCAGCCACATTTTTAAAACCAAAAAAAACCCCAAAATTTAAAATTACCACAAAAATTTTTCCAAATTTACAAAAAATTCCGGGGGAGGGCCATTTAAAATTGGCCTTTTTTGATATAAAGTGTTTTTTTTTTCCTCATGGATTTTTTTTTTGCTCTGAGATGCTTTTTTTTGGACAACCAGCACGGGAAGGGGCCTTTTCTGAAAATCAAACTTTTTAAAATTTTTTTCATAGCATATTGTAAATTTTCATAGAAAATCAAAAGTGGATAAAATCAAAATCGGGCAAAAAGGGAAAGAGGTGTTAAGTGTTGATGGGGCTAGAACTTGCAGGGCCCAAAGAAAAGCCCCGCCTAAAAACTACAAAATCAAGGGGAAAGGTTTTCCCCAAGGCAATTTTTTTACAAAATTTTTAAAGCAAAACTCCTAATTGAAAGCAAAAAAATTTTAAGGGTTTTTTTCCGGCAGACCAAAACCACCCCGGGGAAAACCGGGGCATAACAAAAAAATTTTACTAAACAGAGGTCGCATTTGGGAAAAGGAAATAAAATTTTAAATTTTTAGAGGGGGGGTTTTTTTTAGGGGGGGGTTATATTGCATCCATGACCAGAAGACATGTTGCCGTACAACTTAAACTAAATAATCAAACAATTAAGAGGAGAGATGGCCTAGTAGGTAAGGTGTCTCCCTTTCCCCAACCCAGGGGTCAGGGGTTTTGACCCCTATTTTTTTCACCCAAATGTTTTTTCCCAAATTGACACCAGAAACCTTTTTTTGGTTCCAGAAGCAAACCAAAGGTTTTAAAAAGGCAAGTTTTTTCCAATCCATTTAAAAAAATTTTAAACCAAAAAAAACAAGAGAAAAACTTTTTCAATAAACAAATTTTTTGTAAACAAAATTTGGTTTAAATTTTTTAAAAGGGAAAAAATGAATTCAACCTTTAAAGAATTTATTTTTTTAATTAAACACTTGTATACAGATAAATCCCTTTAAAAGGAATTAACTTTTAAATTTTTTCCCAAAAGAGTTATAAATTTACTTGAAATCATTTTTCCCAAGATTTCGGGCAATAGATAAAAACAAATAATTCTAAAATTTTGGGGTTCTTTAGGGAAACCTTAATTTTACAATTTATCCCCAAAAACGAATTTTGGGGGGGTAATAGGAGTCCCCCCGGGTTTGGGGGCGGCCAGACCCTTGCTTTTCCTTTGCCAAATAATTTGAAGACAAAATGTTAATTTTAAAACAATTTCATACAATGGCCCAAACAAAATTGGGGGAAGTGAAAGTGCACAAGAACCATAACTCTATTTTCACTAATTACAGGGGTTTTTTGGGCCCTTTTTTAAACTTTTCCTTGCCCGGGGAAAACTTAAAACTCCCGGTTTGGAATTCAAAAAAAACTTCATACAAGGTAAAAGGAAACCAATAAGAGTAAGTCAAGAACACAAAAACCCAAATAATTTCTATCTAAAGTAATTACGGGAATTTAATTCCCCCTTTGTTACTTTTCCATTGCTTTTTTTGTCCAGAAAATAACTGGAAGACTTTTTGGGAATTAAATTTTAAACCCTTTAAATAAAAAGATCAACACATTGAGAAAAATGCAGGGGAAACAAAAACCCAAATAACTCCATTTGACATTACAAATTTTTTTCCCCTTTTTTTACTTTTTTTGCCCGGAGCATAACTTAAAATTAATTTTTGGAAATTCAATACAACTTAAAAACCATTAACACTTTAAAGGAAGTGAAAGGCAACAAAAAACCAAATAACTCTGCACTAAATTAATTTTTGATTTAATGCCCTTTGTTACTTTTCCATTCCCTTTTTTCTTGTCCAGAGCATAATTTGAAAAGAAAGTTTTTTGGGAAATTTCAATACAAATTTCATACAGGGTAAAGTATATTAAGAGGAAGCCATGCACAAAAACCCATTATCTTTTTTTGATAAATTTAAAAAGAGTTTTTGCCCCTTTTTTACTTTTTAAATTGTCCAGTCCCATAATTAAAATTTTTTAATTTTGGGAATTTAAATAAAATTCATACAATGGTCAAGGGCAATAAAGGGGAAGTCCCAATGCCGAATTTAACTTTTTTCTGATTTTTTCCCAAAAAATTTAAATTTCAAAAAAAAAATTTAAATAAAAATTGGCCCCCCAAAACATATTGAAAAGGAAATGCAACATAAAAAAAACCAAAACAACTATCTTTAATTCCCAAACCCAAAAACTGTTTTTAAATTTTTTAAACCCAAGGGTATTCTTTTACTTGAAAACTTCCCCCTTTTAAAAAGCAGCCCTTGGGGGGTTTTAAATAATTTTAAAGGATATTCATTTTGGTTTTTCCAGAAATACAGAAATTTTTAAAAATTTATTTAAATTGATTTAATAAAAGATGCAAATTTTTGAAAACAGTTTAACCTTTCGTAATTGTTATTTTCATTTGTTTTTTTTTGTAAAAACACAGAAGGGTTTTTAAAAGTTAAGTTAAAACCCTTTGGGTTTTTGTTCTTTAAGGGTTTTGAGAAGATGGTTTCCCGCTGACCTTTTAGAAAAAAATAGATAAAAGGCAATAGATTTTATAAACAGCAGCGCAGTAAAGTATATATAGTTAAAACCCTTTTCTTATCTTGCCCCAATGCGGGTAAAGTTTTATATAGTTTAACCCGTTATTCATCTTGTCCAGGGGCAGAGGGATAAGGGTTTTAAACCCGTAACTTACTTTTCCAGTTGGGAGTAGTAAATAGTTAACCAGTTAATGACTTGTCTTCCTGCAGTAAAGTTTATAGTTAACCCGTTACTTACTTGTCTTTCCCGCAGTAAAAGTTATATTATATATATATATATATTATATAATATAATTTTAATATAAAATAAATTTTAAAAAATATTATACATGTATATTTTAGTTAACCAAATTTTTAAATGACCCCCTTTCAGTAAGTTAAAAATAGTTTTGCCAGTTACTTTTTCCCTTTTTTCTTCCTGCAGTATGTAATTATGTCTTTTTTCCCGGGAAATATGTGTCTATAAAGCAGGTTACTTATCTTTCCAGCTGCAGTAATGTATATTTTAAAAAAATATTGGTTTCCACTTAATGTTAAAGTATTTGTTTAAAAAAGCAGTTAACTTTATTAATTGTGGAGGTTTTACAGTAAAACCCGCCCTTAAACAATTGCATTTTTAAGATATAAAATTTTATAAAATTTTCTGAACAAAATTTTCTTTTTAAAACTTTCTAAACTTTTAAAATTTTTTTTAAGTAAAAAGGAAATATTTTTTAAACCCCTTTTTAACAACAGTTAAAAAAACATTTTTGGGGAGTGTAATTTTGTTCATTTTTTGTACAGAGTTTGTTTTTGGGCACTGTAAAAAGTGTGTGTTTGTAAATTTCAGAAAATTTTCGAAAAGGGATAAAGTACGAGATGAGAATGCTGGGTAGATTACGTATCAAAAAGAATCGCTTTGGGCGATTTACCGGCTAAAAGCTACAACCACAGCTACTGTATCTGGACTGGTCAGTATTGGTCAATCAACTCTCTCCATACCATAAACAACCTTTTGATAAATGATAAAATTACTTGATGTTTTTGTTTTACTTTTTATAAGCCTTTGCTCACCAGTCAAGGTTTTCCTGACCTGGATGTTGTATATCAGGAACTAGAATTATGGCACTTCTCCCAGAAAACGTTCCAAAAACCCAAATTTTATTGTTTTTAGATTGTTATAAAATTTTAATTTGGAAAAATAATTTAACCTTTTTAAAAACATCTAAAATTTGTTACCCAAAAAGGGGAATTTTTTGGGGAAATTGGGATGGGTTTTCTTTTTGGGAAAAAGCCTATAAATTTTAATTACAGGGAAAATTTAAAGTTTCAAACCCCCATTCAATTTACTGATAAATTTTCAAAGTATATTTAAAATCCCGGAAAAATTTTTCAAGGGATTTTAAATTTTTCTCATTTTTTCAAATTAAGAATTTTTTGTAAAAAATATTTGCAAAAAATAAAAATAAGCATGTCTAAAAAATGGGGGAAATTATTTTTTAACCCCACCAAGGGGGTTGGGAAAAGTTTTATTTCGCAAAAATGTTAAACCTTTAAAAAAAAATCTGAAATTTTTAAAAAATTTAGTGTGGGAAATTGTTTTTGTTTTTTTTACTTTAAATCCCGGGTGTTTTAGCCGGGAAAACCTGAGGGTCATTTTTTACTAAGTTTTCCCACAAACCAAATCCCCAAATTTTTCAAAATTTACCCTCCCGTTAAAAACATGAAGGGGCCAAAAACAAGGGCCTTTTTTAAATTTAAGGGCAAAAGATTCCCTTTTAAGGGTCAAACGGGCCAAAACCCGTTAGTTATGAAAAAATTTTATGTAAAATATGTGTATTGGGTTTTAAAATTTGCATTAAATTTGGTATCTGTAGAGATGGTGAAAGTTGTACAAAAGGGAGGCAATAGAAAAAATACGCAACTGTTTCCTTAATTCTAGTTTAACCCGTGTTTCTATTCCAGAAACCGGGGAATCCGAGAAACCGTGATCAAATGTTTTTTTATTGTTTTTTTTTGGGTAAAGTTAAAAGGGATAAAGTCGGGAAATTTGGATTCTTTTATTGAGAAAGCTTTTCAAATTAGCTTACAGAACTCATTTGGGTTTCCCAATTTCTTTTCCTGTGAAATAATGCAAAAGAAAGGGGACCCCAAGTTCTTTTCTCCACCATTTAAGAAATCCCCAAAACCTATCGGGGGACATTAAAAAAAAACAAAACCGAAAAAAAAGCCCCGGGCTTCGTTTTTATGGAGAGTCCCCAAGTTTAAAAATTTGTCTAGGAAAAAAAAATTTTTGACAATTTTGCGTTTAAAAAAAGTCTTAAAAAAAAGGGCCAAAATTATGACCCCTATACTTATAAATGACCCAAAAAAAGTCCTTATTTCCCAGGAGTGTTTTAAAGGGATCTTAAAAAATTGTCAAAACCCCTCCAAAAACAAACAACTTTTTTTTGAATATTGTTTTGAAAAATATCTAGAATGAAAATAAAGGCTAACTTTAAAAAATAAATCCGAACACCAAATCTTAATTCCCGTCATTAACGGGTGTTACATGATGTCACAATGTAGCGCGAAACACCCCATCAAAACAAAACGCATCTATTTAAAAAAAAATTAAATTTCTTAAACCCCCTGTAAATTGCAGTTTCGTACAACAAGGGGGTTTGCAAATTTTTTTCTTGAAATTAAAAAAGGAATCGGTTTTTGGAAAATTTTAAAATTTTATCAACAAGATAAAAAAAAATACATTTCTTTTATACCTTTCTTTTAAACAATTTCATAGTAAAACCAATCCGGGGTTATGCGCGTGCCCTTTTATTTTGTAAATTTTTTCAGGAAAAGCGAATTGGTCATTTAAATCTTAAGTTAAAAAGAAAAAAAGAAAAGGAACAGGGTTTCTTGAAACGGTCTAAGTGCAAAAACTTTTTTTCCCCAAAGTTTTGGGCATAAGTCCCCAAAGGGTTTTTGGGTTTAAATTAGGGCTCTCCATGAAACGCAGCCCGTAAAATAATTGATAGAAAATTTGATAAGTAATAGGGTTTTTTTGGCGAGTGGGTTTGAATTTTTCAAAAATTATCCACCCAACATGAAAAACCCGATACCCAGGGAAACGGTTTAGACTGTATTTTTTTTTGTTTGGCTATTTTAGGTTTAAAAGCGGGGGATTTAGATTCTTTTTTGTGAGTAACTATCCTTTGTTTACAGAAGTCATGGTTCTTTTTTTTCGTAAAATAATGCAGAGAAGGCACCTGAGGTTAACTTGAAAAGTACCATATATATACTGTTTTGGCCCCACATAAAAACAAAAAAAACCAAAAAAGAAAAAGCCTTTTGGGGAGAACCCCGATGTCAAGTGAACGATGGAAAAGCACAGTCTCTCATGGGGTGGGGGGTTAGAGTCGATGACTTCAAATCCAGTTACCTCCTGGGGGGGTTCACCCCCGGGGGTTTTTGGTATTTTACGGAGAGGAAAGGTATCTAGTACTGGTGTAACCCCAAAGAAATGGTTAGGAAACTACCCGCCTATATGACTGAAATACTGTTGGGAAAAGGCGTAAAATGAAACGAACAAACAAACAAACAAGCCTCTCATTGATGCCATATTTTAAACACAAGCTGCTGGCACTCCAGTACAACTATTGATAGTATGTAGATACATGTAATAGGGTTTTATGGCGAGTGATTTGAATTCTCAAACTTATCCACCCAGACATGAAAGCCCTGATACCGAGGGACAACGGTTTAGACTGTTCCACAAACACCCATGAAATAACTGTTTTATTACCTAATGCTTTGCAATCAAACTATAATATATATTGCAACAACATACTATAGTTTAAACAAGCAGTTACATTTGATAAATGTTTTTCCATTCTACAGAGAGGGTCTCGATTTTACTATCTGGGACCGATGGGACATTAAAGGAAATCCGGACTTTACATTACAGAATCTACTTGATAAACTAAAGGTCAGTTGTGGTGGTTATTATGTACATTTACTTGTTAAGTTTTAAATGTGAATTCATTAAAAAAAAAATCTAGTAAAATTATTTGAGCCGCTTCATGACAAAACCAACATAGTGCGTTTCCGACCAGCATGGATCCAGACCAGCCTGCGCATCCGCGCAGTCTGATCAGGATCCATGCTGTTCGCTATCAGTTTCTCACTTGCTATGGGTTTTGTAACAGCGAATAGCTGGTCCTTGATCAGCCACGGATCGCGGCTGGTCTTGGATTATGTGGTCGTTTACCCATTAATGTTGTTTTCATACTCGGCTATTTGATCACAACGTTCTAAAAGAAACAACCAGTGTTTTGATATTTTAGACTGACACAAATCCTTTTTGTCATCAAATGACTCTTAAATTACCAAATTTAACATTTTGTTCAAATTTATCTGCCAGTACATCAGTACATTAAAATTATATCAGTATGTTATAATCAGTAAACAATTTCAAAAGTTCCAGACCCTTCATTTTGATTGGGTACATACGATTTTTTTTCCCTTTCCCCTCCCTCCTCAATGCTAGTTTCCATAACGACGGAAAGTAGGGGCTTCCTTTTTTCCTAGACTTTGTTTTATTCTTTTTACTTTACATTTTTAACATTGGTTTATTTTTGGACTATTTTTTGTCTTTTTAAAAAACAGTTTTAAAAATTTTAAAACCCTTTTTTTTTTTGTAACTATGGGGGTTTTTTGGAAACCCAGAAACCCTTTTTGTTGGCAGGGAAAAAAAAATTGTGAAAAAACATTTCGGGTATAGGAACGATTTTACTGACAAAGCTAATTTTAAACATTTACTACATTATAAAGAGTGCGATTGTAACGTTTAAACCTCTATGAGCCTGCTCTACAAACAACCCATAGTAATGGTTCGACCAGCATTGGGATCCAACCAGCCTGCCGCTCCGCTGTTTCTGATCAAGGATCCATGCTGTGTTCGCTGTCCAGTTTCTCCATTTGTAATCAGGTTGGTAAGCAAAACATCATGGATCCTGAATTAGACTGCACGGATGCGCGAGGTCTGGATCCATGTTGTTCGAAAACCCAAACCTATGTTGGTTTTGTTGGACGTGTCCTAATTATTTTTGGGTTTATCTGACCAATAGATACTAATTGCCAGATCAATATTGTTTTACATAATGTTCTGATTAACGTTTAACATTAATAATATTACTTTAACACTTCTACATTTTACTTGACAAATCAGATAACGTTTAAAACATTGTAAAATAATACTTTGTTTAATATCGGCCAAGAAAAGTAAATTATCCGTTGTGTTGTTTCTAAATTATTCTACACTATTAAACTAAATTATATCAGAACTTATTGCAAATTTGATTGTCTGCCCATTATCAGACAGGTAAAGAAAATTACAAAAACCAAACTTTTTTTCCCCCAACTTTTTTTCGGAAAAACTTTTATTACATTACCATGTTTAAGCAACAATTGTCAAGGGTGAAAAACTTTATTTTTTCTTGTTACTTTTTCTGAATGTGTGTAATTTTTTTGAGTTATTCCTTTAGAATGACAAAAAGTTGTTTAAAAGGCCGAAGCCCAGGAAGAATGTGTTATGGATTTGGTCGTCTCGTTCCCGAGTTTCATAAGTGACGAAGATATCGGGGGACCCCCTGTACGATACTTCTTCGGACTTTGATGCTCAATAATAATTTAATATGCACTATTTATAATGCATCTTTACATTGCATTCTTAAATATTAGTTCTTGAAGAAACTTAACTGTTTCATGTCTTTTATATTTTTGTTTGTTTCCTGCTTTTTATGCCGTTGAGTATATGAAATGGGGCATATTAGTTTTAAATAATATTACATGTATTTATTTAAATTTAAGCTCATTTGTTAAGAAATCTTGTAGTTTATTTGATTATTTTTTTAATATGCTTCATGGAGAGGTCTTGAATCCACGATACAGGGGTCAGTTAAGAAGCACAGACCTTAAACCATTAGGCCACCGCTCCCATTTTTCTTGTGCCAACAGGTGATATTCTTGTTTAAAAACACTATTTATTTAAACTTGATTGTAAAGAAAGCTTAGGGCCCAGTTACACAGACGTATGGTCCCCCCAATCGTCCATTTAAATTTAAAATTTACCGCTGGGCTTTATGAATCGGTTTGGTCATGGTGATTTAAATTTTAGGTTTTTTCTGGTTAAAACGGGGCCATCCACAGAAAGCAAACTCAAAGGAATGGGGTCATGAATTAAAATGCTTCAAACTTTGTTTTTTTATCGTTTGTAAATCGGAGCTAAAATCGGGCCCGTAACGCTGATAGATCCTGTTTTGAATAGCTAGTCATCAGTGGTTAAAACCTTTCCCGTCAATATGGGCCGGTATTCAAGTATTGTTATCTTTGTGATCGCGCGATATCCGGGATTAAGAGGTTTTGCACATCTCGGTGATAATAGGTTGGCCGTCCGGTTTAATTTTTTAAAATATTTTCAACCGATCAAGAATTTTAAACGGTTGTTTTAAAAATCTCAATCGGTAATTTTTTCACCGACGAAAAAACCTTTTTTTTAATTTTTTGTCTTTTATTTCCCCCCCTAATAGCAGGTTGATAGGTGGAAAACAGGTGACCAATAGGAAAATATCGGCGTGACAAATACGTTGTCATCCGGTCGCACTCCATAATTTGGCTAAAAAACTACCGATCAATCACCGATGGCTCTGTTTAAACTGGGGTGCTTACACTAGGCTAGGGTTTTTAATCAATTTTAGAGGGGATCGCTTTCCTTGAACTAAACAGTACTTCGTAACTTGTGTCATATGAAGAACCTCAGTACTTGTGTCACCTCTGCAGTGACATTCAAACTAAACCAAAGGGTTACCAGGAAATTACCAGGGTTGAGGCAGACACCACCCGAGTTACTGGGACATGTTGTCTTGACCTGTCTGTCCCCATGCAGACAACTTTAACCTTATGTTAAACTATATCCTCGAGCCTTCATACTTGGACATATCAAATCTATAAACAGCTTTATTTAAATGAATTGTAATATGAACTTTATCCCTAAATAACCTTGACAGTAAAGATCAAATTTTTAGAATTTGTAAATTACAGATGCGGGTGTATTTCTGTTTCACGAACATATTTTGTTTAATTGATATTTTGACAATATAAAATTGAATGGTTTTGTTGGCAATATAATATAAATGTTTACGATTATGTTAAAATGTGTAATAACAGATGACAATCAGTAACTCAAAATCGCTTTACTTAAATTAACTGGTTTGTCAATGAAATTCAAAGTCCTGTCAAATTTCCTTCTTTGTCTCTAGATATGTAACTTTGTTTATTTCAAACATTGACTTACTGATAGCATGGATGTGTCAAATATATTGAAATCTTTTTAGCTCACCTGTCACAAAGTGACAGGGTGAGCTTTTGTGATCGCTTTTCGTCCGTCCGGCGTCCGTCCGTCCGTAAACTTTTGCTTTAAATGACATCTCCTCATAAACCACTGAGCCAATTTCATCCAAACTTCACAGGAATGTTCCTTTGGTGGTCACCTTTAAAAATTGTTCAAAGAATTTAATTCCATGCAGAACTCTGGTTGCCATGGCAACCGAAAGAAAAATCTTTAAATATCTTCTTTCAAAGAACTGTAAGAGCTAGAGCTTAGATATTTGGCATGAAACATCTTCTAAAGAGTGTCTACCAAGTTTGTTCAAATAAAAGCCCTGGGTCAAAATTGGCCCCGCCCAGGGGGGTCATTGATTTTCCCTATATGCATATAGTAAAACTTAAAAAATTTCTTTTAAAGAACTGTAAGAGCTAGAGCTTAGATATTTGGCATGAAACATCTTCTAGTGAATGTCTACCAAGTTTGTTCAAATTAAAGCCCTGGGGTCAAAATTGGCCCCGCCCCAGGGGGTCATTGATTTTCCCATATGCATATAGTAAAAACTTAAAAAATCTTCTTTTTAAAGAACCCAAAGAGCTAGAGCTAAGATATTTAGCATGAAACATTCTTCTAATGAGTGTCTACCAAGTTTTGTTTCAAATAAAAGCCCTGAGGTCAAAATTGGCCCTGCCCCAGGGGGGTCATAGATTTTCCCTATAATGCATATAGTAAAAACTTAAAAAATCTTCTTTTAAAGAACCCAAAGAGCTAGAGCTAAGATAATTTGGCATGAAACATCTTCTAGTGAGTGTATACCAAGTTTGGTTCAAATAAAAGCCTGGGGTCAAAAATTGGCCCGGCCCTGGGGGGTCAATTGATTTTCCCTATATGCCATATAGTAAAAACTTAAAAATCTTCTTTTAAAGAACCCAAAGAGCTAGAGCTAAAGATATTTGGCATGAAAACATCTTCTAGTGAGTGTCTACCAAGTTTGTTCAAATAAAAGCCCTGGGTCAAAATTGGCCCCGCCCTGGGGGTCATTGATTTTGCCCTATATGCCTATAGTAAAACTTAAAAAATCTTCTTTTAAGAACCGTAAGAGCTAGAGCTTAGATATTTGGCATGAAACATCTTCTTGTGAATGTCTACCAAGTTTGTTCAAATAAAAGCCCTGGGGTCAAAATTGGTCCCGCCCCAGGGGGTCATTGATTTTCCCTATATGCATATAGTAAAAACTTAAAAAATCTTCTTTTAAAGAACCCAAAGAGCTAGAGCTAAGATATTTGGCATGAAACATGTTCTAATGGGTGTCTACCAAGTATGTTCAAATAAAAGCCCTGGGGTCAAAACTGGCCCCGCCCCGGGGGTCATTGAGTTTCCTTATATGTGTATAGCAAAAACTTAAAAATCTTCTTTGAAAAAACCCAAATAGCTTTAGTTTAGATATTAAGCATGAAACATCTATAAGTAAATATCTACAAATTAAAGCCCTTGGTGTCAAAATTGGCCCTGCCCGGGGGCAGTGATTCTCATTATGTACACATAGTAAAAACAGAAAATAAAACAAATGTTTTCTGAATAGGAGAAAGCTATAGCTTAGATATTTGACTTGAAATGTTGTTTGGTGGACCTGTATAAAGATTGTTTTGAATTAAACACTTGGGTCAAAATTTTGCCTTGCCCAAGGGGACAGTGACCAACTTTCTTGTCCTTTGATGTACAGCAATGAAATTTTGACCATGTGCACAGTTTTAGTTGTAAAATTGAAAATCAGGTGACCTAGATTTTGATGATGTGACCTACTTTCTTGTCCTTTGATGTACATCTATGAAATTTGAACCATGTGCACAGATAAAGATGTAATTTGAACTTTGATATCAGCTGACCTAGATTTTGACAAAGTGCCTTACTGTGTTGTCCTTTGATGTAGTCATGAAATTTAGGCTGTGTGAAATATGACCTTCACCACCAAATTCACTAGACTCAAGTGCATTGATATATTCCTACTCTGATCTTTTATTGGATTAACAATAGATTTAACCACTAATCTGATAATAAGAATTAGATAGGTCAGGGATCTATGCATTATGACAATCTTCAATTGTAAATCTGTTCCTACACTACTATTTAGTGTTGTATTAATGCGGTGGCATAGCATTTTTCTCAAATGCAATCTTTCTTGTTTTTATGCCCCCCTTCGAAGAACAGGGGGTATATTGTTTTGCTAATGTCGGTCTGTCTGTCGGTCGGTCTGTCCGGCGGTAGACCACATGGTTTCCACTGATTATCTTGAAAAGTATTTATTACAAAGTCTTCATATTTCACATAGTGATTGGTCATAACTAGTAGATGACCCCTATTGATTTTGGGGTCACTAAGTTCAAGGTCACAGGGGCCTTAAATGTCAAAATGGTTTCTGCTGATTATCTTGAAAAGTATTTATCACAAAGTCTTCATATTTCACATAGTTGTTGGTCATAACTAGTAGATGATCCCTATTGATTTTGGGGTCAAAGGTCAAGGTCACAGGGGCCTTAAATGTCAAAAAGGTTTCCGCGGATTATCTTGAAAAGTATTCATCACAAAGTCTTAATATTTCACATAGTGATTGGTCATAACTAGTAGATGACCCCTTTTATTTTAGGGTCACTAGGTCATAGGTCAAGGTCACTTGGACCTTAAATGTCTGAATGGTTATCTTGAAAAGTATTGATCACAAAGTCTTCATATTTCACATAGTTGTTGGTCATATCTAGTAAATGACCCCTATTGATTTTGGGGGCACTAGGTCAAAGGTCAAGGTCACAGGGGCCTTAAATGTCAAAATTGTTGCCGCTGATTATCTTGAAAAGTATTCATCACAAAGTCTTAATATTTCACATAGTGATTGGTCATAACTAGTAGATGACCCCTATTGATTTTGGGGTCACTAGGTCAAAGGTCAAGGTCACAGGGGCCTTAAATGTCAAAATGGTTTCCGCTGATTATCTTGAAGAGTATTGATCACAAAGTCTTCATATTTCACATAGTTGTTGGTCATAACTAGTAGATGATCCCTGTTGACTTTGGGGTCACTAGGTCAAAGGTCAAGGTCACAGGGGCCTTAAATGTCAAAATGGTTTCCGCTGATTATCTTGAAAAGTATTGATCACAAAGTCTTCATATTTCACATAGTTATTGGTCATAACTAGTAAATGACCCCTATTGATTTTGGGGTCACTAGGTCAAAGGTCAAGGTCACAGGACCCTTAAATGTCAAAATGGTTTCTGCTGATTATCTTGAAAAGTATTCATCACAAAGTCTTCATATTTCACATAGTTGTTGGTCATATCTAGTAGATGACCCCTATTGATTTTGGGGTCACTAGGTCAAAGGTCAAGGTCACAGGGGCCTTAAATGTCAAAAGGGTTTCTGCTGATTATCTTGAAAAGTATTCATAACAAAGTTCATATTTCACCTAGTAATTGGTCATAACTAGTACATGACCCCTATTGATTTAAGGGTCATTAGGTCAAAGGTCAAGGTCACAGGGGCCTTAAATGTCAAAATGGTTTCCCCTGATTATCTTTAAAAGTATTTATCACAAAGTCTTCATATTTCACATATTGATTGATCGTAAGTAGTAGATGACCCCTATTGATATTGGGGTCATTAGGTTAAACATCAAGGTCACAGAATCCTTGAA